GTCCTTGAGAGTTTTTGTCGTGGAATCTTGCCTAGAAGAGATTGCCGTCAAAGCCGATAAGATTGATGCGGTAGCAAGCTGCCTGGGTGGAATGCCCATCTAAGAAATGATGTTTAGGGTTGAGACCGTAGAAGATAAAACCACAAGTATTGGTGGCTTTGAGTGGGGATTGCTTGATGAGCTCCGTTGCCCACGTAGAGGAGAGAGTTGAAGGTTTTGACAACTACCAAGAAGCGTCGCACATGTAACAGCCCGTGTTTCGAGGGTTCAAATCAAGGATTAGTCCAACTAACAAGTTAAACCAATTCAACAAAATTGATTCTTCATCCTCACAATTTATTGTTGTGTCCACATCCCCACATTTCATTTTTCTTCCACCATCTCGTATGGCATTCGGTCAAATCTAACTACATATTTATATAGGACGAAATGACTGTACAGGAATCAAAATAATTGGTCGAAAAATAGAGTAAATAGGTTTATGACTAGCTCCAAAACCGCGACTAATGAAACAATTTAACCTAATTTAAAGCCACCAATAAGTTGCACACCCTTAAACCACACAATAAGCATACAAATTCTTCACGAAATCGGTCGTTAATCATGTATGTGAACGAATGCGTAAGTTTTTCAAGAGAAGAAATTCGGCAGAAACAATCAATAACCTCATAAATTGACACTGGCAACATTTTTTATCAATCCAAATGTCATAATTTTGGAGAGAGCCACATAAAATTGAAAATCTTACCCACTTCATGTCACTTGACCCACATAATAATAAACATTCAACCTAAAAGAGAGATGACTAATGACTTGACCAATACAGCCATGCTCCGGTTGACATCTAACTATAAATAATAAGTAGAAATTAGATCCATTAAAATATAATCATAATGACAACTAACGACCTCATGAAAACAATACCACATACGATAAGGTAGGAGCATGTTAGGCTCTGAAATAGATTCGAAAGTTTGTTTAAGCAATCAATGAATAATTAAAGGATTGAAATAGAATTTTAGGTAAAGTTCAACGATTGAAACAGAAATTTCGAAACAGAAAGACTAGAACACAATATATGAAGAATTAAAGGATTAAAATAGAATTTGAAGTAAAGTTCAACCATGGAAACAGAAAACTTCAACACTGAAAGACTGGAACACATTACTCAAAAAGTAGGGATCAAATCCAAATAAAATATGGAAGTGAAGAAAACTAAAAGAGAATATAAACCATGTTCTCTGTTTTGTTTTGTGTGTACGTGGGTCAAGAGATCACAACAAATCATGTATATCAGATGCGAGAAGACGAAAAGAGAGGAGGGTGAGCACAGGCATCAGGATATTGCCGAATTCATGTGCAAAGAGAGAATCACGCAAATGCGAAAAGTTATATAAAGCAGAAATGGCCAAATATTCAGGGCTTTAGGCTCCTTGATATTCTACCTGTTGTTGGCCGCTAGTGCCTCCCCTCAATAAACTATCCTAAACAGAACTGTACTCTAAAAGTAATGGCTCCACAGAGGCCAGGAATGGTTGGTGGACAAAGCACCACCAACATTATCTGATACTCAAATCTCCCCTTCTTTCTTCACCTTGATTTGATACACTTTTCCCACAAATATTTTGGAATGGTGATGGGTTTCTGTTTCACCAAAGCTTTTATATTAAGAGTTGGATAAATTACCCTTTTTGATCTATTTAGCCCCGAAATCTGGTGTTTGAACTTCCGTGGAACAGTCTCAGAAACTCAAAAGACAAAATTTAAACTATTTCTCAGAAGCTAGAAACTAAATAAATAGCAAACGAACAAACTGAAGAGTGATTTATCTAAGAGCTTTGTTTGGGCTGCAGAAAAATTTCCGTGATCAGTATGTTTTACATCAAACAGTTCTTTAAGACGGCAATATAACCATGCCTAAAAGGAAATTTCTATGTTATTCACGTAATACTGTGATAATACTATTTCAATCAAGAATCATATCGTTCTTGCTGCTTTTCTTAAATAAACTTCCAATATGAAAACGTTTTCAATATGCTAAAAAAATGATTTTCTTTCTTCTTCTAGATGAATCATCTTGCAATTAATTTACCAAAAGAATAAGTAAATCAGTATATATAGTTTAAAATATCGACGCACAAATGCGCGAATATCTCCAACGAGCAACTACCAGAAGGAAAAAGCTTCTTTTGAAAAACGATCAGTTTTTGAAAAGGTTGCTTAAAAACTGAAAAATTCCCTGGGAATCTGGAACCTACTTTCTAAAGCTGGGGCTCAAAGTGATTCATTGCTATGCAGGGGAATGGCTAAGGCAAGGCTGGCAATGGAATGAGATGCTTATGGCAACGGCCATGATGCGGCCACTCTCAAAGTGAGAGGCTCTAATTTCATATTGATGGGTGTCCCCAGCACATCATATATTCTCTCCCTACTTTTCCATCCATTGATGTGCATAAAAATCTAAATAACCTCTTCAATATCAAGTCCGTTTATTAAAGTTTTAATAGTTTGGTTAAGTCTCTTCGTTTATCTTTTTAGTTTACACAACTCAAACGCTAGTCTAGTTAAGCTGATCTAATACACAATAAATCATTTAAGCTTTTGGACAGCATTTGTAGCTTGCCACATGAGAAAATTATTTGCATGAAAATTTAAAAGGTCATCTAAACTGACCCACCCCTTTCTGTCAACACCAGCTGGCTAAGCCTTGAAAAGTGAAGCGTATAACGTACCGGCATTTACACAAACAGATGGTGCGCATGCAAGAGAAAGCAAGAAAACAAAATATCTCAAGAACAGAGTAGAAAGTGAAAGTGAAATTTGAATTGAACAGACAAATGAAATCGATATCGTCAGGGGGACGGGGGGCCACAAGATTGCAAAAGGAATACCAAAAGCAAACGAGATCTGAATATCGATAGAAAATGTGAAATTAGGGTTTGGGAGAAAATGGAAACAGTAAAGTAAACGGAACACTCACAGGGCTGACAGCGGCATGGGGTAGGAGAATCTCCATTATCGAGAGCGATTTGTGTTGACCGCCGAATGGGTGGCTCCTCCACGTGCTCTCTCTGCCTTGAAGAAGAAGAGAAGAACAGGCCCCTCTTCCTTTTCGTACATGGAATGGGATTGAATTTGTTGCCAGCGCGGAAAATAAATTTATTTAACTTCCTCTTTATCACATCACGTGTTTTCGTCTCATTTCCCTTTTTTTTCTTTTTTTCTTTTTTTCTTTTTTTTTCAATTGATATTTTAAAAATATATTATGCATTTTCCTTCTGGAAAAAAAAAAATCATTTTCATTATTAATGATTTGAATTTAGTACCCATTTAAAAATATTTTTTTTCCACATTTGAAATTATGTTTATTTTTAAATTACAAATATGTTTCCAAATTTTACTTTCCTAATTTAAATCATTCCATTACTGAAAATAATGTTACAATCCAACTCTATCTTAGTTATAACAAATATTAAAAATATTTAGGACATGAGTCATATGTTTAGAAGGGTGAATGTTTGATATTTGAGTTTTATGAGATTTTAGTTATTAATACCATATATATCGTAAATAAACCAGATTTTTTAGATGATAATCTGAATTAAGTTGGAACTCGACCCATTTATAATTTTAAGCTTCTCATTTTAATAATTTTAAAAAATAGGAAAGAATTTGATATTTAAATTTAATGTCAAGTTTGGATGTGCTTTTAGAAAAGGAAAGTTTTCGAGAAAATAAAAAGTAATCTGGCATCATTTAAATAATAAAAAATAATAAATATAGAAAGTAAATTATTGAATTACACAACTATTTTACTCTAGTTTTATTATAAATATATTTTAATTTTAATTGAGAGTAAGCTATTAAAAAATATGATATAATAATTTATACGCTTTTTTCGGGTTTCGACTAAAAATCAAACAAATTTAAAGCTGTGGAAAGTCAACTAATATTTTATGGTTATAATTTCATTATTTATAGAATTTTAAACGTTTTTTTTTTTAATATTTAAATATTTTTGATGACCGCTTGCCCATCCTCATCACAGTCCAATGGCTTGAAAGTGAGATATTGATTTGAGATTTTTAGTTTGGTTAAGAATTGAGACATTACCACGTAATTAGCAATATTTCCTTTTATTTTTTTTATTCTTATATTATAAATGTACATTTAATTCCATAATTAAACACAAAACCATATTATAAACTTGGATGATTTGTGAAATTATACTATTTTAAGCCTCGATTTTAATTTTATTAAAAATGTACACCTGAATTAAATTGGAAAAATCTTGTAGACCAATAAAAAATTTGAGAAAGATAGGTTTATTGACCTTAATAATCCGCATAAAATTCTCTCTTGATTTAGAAAATGATAATGGGTTTATAATTAAAAAAATATTATCTCTATTGGTATGAAACCTTTTGGGAACCCCAACTCAAAGCTATGAGAGTTTATGCTAAAATGGACAATGTCATACCATTGTTGAGAATCGTGTTCATCTAACGTGGTATTAGAGCCACGCCCCTAAAACTTGGCCATGCCAAGTCATTTGATTTTAATAATTGGGTGGGATATATAGAGAGAGAGGCATGCCTAAGTTGAACTAATTTTATTTAATTTTGAACTTTTTTTTTTCTTTATTTTAATTCATTATTTTTTTGAGCAAGTAATTTTGCATTTTTATTTAATTTAGAGTTTAATTTAATAAAATAAAAATATTAGGTGAAAAAAATATTTATTTGTAGGTATTTATTAAGAAGAAAAATGAAAAGAAATGGAAAACAAAAAAAAAAAAAAAGGAAAGAAAAATAGAATTGAATTGACGGTGGGTTTTGGAGAAAGAGAAGTCGGCGATTTGGAATCCTTGAAGGACACGGAAATTAAGAGGGAATAAAATTTAATTTAAAACATATTTTGGTTGTCCGTTTCACAGCCTCTAACCAAACCCTAACCCTAAATTTCCTTCTCCGTCAAATTCCTTTAAATACCCTCACCACACTCCTCTTCTTCATTCGCTTACAATTTTCGATATTCAATTCCCTCTCTGCAATTCATTCCCTTTTTCTTTCGTCTCTTTCATTCTCGAGGCCTGCGATTCAACACTCTGTTCCTGTTTTTGACTCTTGTCATCTTTTTCTTTGCATCCGTCGAAATAGATCGGAGAATTTTTGAAAGATTTGTGAATGGTGGAAGAAAATTCTTGTAGTAGTAATTACATGCGCTCCCTTTTGGATTCAAGGGCGAGCGCTCGTCTTCCTCTTTCTGCTGCTTCTTCTTTCGCTTTTGGTTCTTGCAAGGAAGGCTGGTACTACCGCTGCCTCGGAGTTGACCCTTGAGATCTCTCTCTCTCTCTCTCTCTCTTTGTTTCTCTACCTTCTTCTCGATACAACTCCGTTTCAAGGAATTTTAACATTTTGTTCTCAAAACTTTTTTGCGATTTCTCTCTTTCGATTTTTTCGTTGCGGCGCTAGCTTTGGGAAATTTGTCGAGGTTGTCGTCGGTGGCCGATTCTCTGTTTCTGGGGTATAATTTGAAGAAATATAAGAAGGGATTCGGATTGGTGGGATTTTGAATTTGGATTTGGATTTGGATTTCAATTTTCTTACGAGGATGTTGCTGTACAAGCAGAAGAAGAATCAGAATGTTAAGGGCAACAGGCTCTTGATCAGCATCAATGTGCTCGGCAGTGCTGGTCCGATTCGATTTATTGTGAACGAGGAGCAACTTGTTGCTGCTGTTATTGATACAGCATTGAAATCCTACGCGCGTGAGGGCCGGCTGCCGATTCTTGGGTCCGATCTCAGAGATTTCCAGCTTTACTGCCCAATTGCTGGACCAGATGGTAATTTAAACCCTGTTTTTAGACAATTCAATCGTGTTTCGTGATAATTATCCTTTTCAATACTTTTGCATGCTTCCAATATGAAGTGGCTGAAGAAATTTGTGATGCGATTCATAAATTTGTTCTCTATTTCAATTTCGTGTCTTAATTTTGTGATGGAAATCTCTGTTCTGGGGGCTCCCCCCCTTAAAATATTGTTTATTGGTATTGTGTTGGGATCTCTGTTTCCTTTCTCTAGAATCCTCTGATAACAATATTAAAACAAATCTGGGATTTCGTTTTCTCATGTGGTTTTGAAATTTTTCTGCAGCCTTGAGTCCATGGGACACAATTGGATCGCACGGATCCCGGAACTTCATGTTGTGCAAGAAACCACAGCCAGAGAAAGTGGGAGAACATGGAAATTCGCCACCGGAGCCAAGTATCCCCCGCAAAGGCACAGGAAGCTGGAAGTCATGGATCAACAAGTCTCTGAATATGAAAATCTATTCCCATTGAATCCGCGCGACAACGAGGATAATGATGGTTGAATGCTCTATGGAAATTAGGTTGGTTTTAGTTGTTATTTGGGTCAGTTGTTGTGTGGACCATTGCAATTTGGTTTTTATCGCTTTTGTTTGTTGTCTTGTCGGACACCGTGTTTCAACTTTCATAAAGTTGGGTGGGTTCCCCGTTTTTCTTCTGGAAATAAACAGTGTAATCCATAGAATTTATCCCTTTCAAATAAATTACATCTTGGATTTTTAATTGCCACGCATTGTTCATGTTGCTAAGTTTCTGGAAAGAAGAAGAAAAAGGCCGTATGCTTCTTTATGCTTTATGCTTTGAACTCTTGATATTCGGTTTGTGTGGTTGATAATGGATTTGGCTGAATCTTGTTTTATCATCAATCTGATTGGGTCAGAGTATAATAGTTTAGGAGGTGTGTGGGTAAGTGTGATTTGACTATATGAAACTTGAAGCTTCGTACCACGTTCTGATGGGGACCTGATTGTGTGATCTTTTCCCTTTGCCCTTTTTCCTTCTCTGTTTTGTTCAACTCTGCTGGATTTTTCTTACACAAGTTCAATTTTTGTCAATCAAATTGCTGTTATGGCTATTTCATCATATTTGTTTTCTGGGTCTGACCCCTTTTTCTTTTATTTTTTGAAGGGAAACCAAATTTGTTTAGTATGTCATACATCCAAAATGTATAGAAGAATCTTCTTTTTCTTCCTTCTTTTGGTCTACTTGAAGGGTTACTTTAAGGTGCTTCAAAGTTGTAATGGTCTGTTAGAACCACGTCTCTTCCTTTTGGTTCAACGTGTCTCAAATATGATCTTTGAAGGAAACCCTCTTTTCCATGACTTGGAATCCAAGTCTATGACACTGAGTACCTATCATATATGTTAATATACATTCGAAGTCAGACCATTCACACCGTTCAATTGTTGTAGTACCATACCTAACATGCATGGTTGTTGCTTAGATCACAGTGTATTGTGAAGTTGAGTTAGAATAATAATATTGCATACTTTCGATATAGAGCTCATCATTGTTTCATAATAGAACCAAAGCACACACATGGAGTCGACTGAAATGGAGGTTGGTGAACTTCTCAACTCTTGATAAACCCAATTAATGGACGTTGTTGGAATCCAAAACCTTGTATTGAAAAAGGGTGTGTGGAATTGAAGTTGAAATTCTAGGTTTTAATTTGGATTGGAAGTTAATTGCCCAAAGTTATCAGTTTCACCTTATACATGAATCTTCTTCCATGGGAAATGAATTAGTACCGAGCAGTCTAAAGGATGGGGGAAATGATAGGTGTTGGCAGTGCCGTATGCTCTGTGCTCGTCGACAGAACGTATAGATAGGAGGCTCATCGAGACCACGCGAGAACAAATGGGGTTAGAGTTGGTTTAAGGCAACTTGCCGGGCGTTCTGTGGTCGAAGAGAGAACGGCAAGGTAAATTCATGGGTTTTGAGAGCTTCGACAGTTGGATTTGTCTCCTACTCTTCACGGGTTGAACCCATTTTTGTTGCTATAGCTTCGCGAGAGGATGACTTTGCTCAAGAAAACGACCTGAATTGTACGATGAAGGGAAAGAGAAGAGGAAAAGAAGAAGAATTAAAAAAAAAAAAAAAAAAAAAAAAAAAAAAAAAAAAAAAA